TGGGAGAATTTTCACTAAGATACTCATTTGTTTGTGTCCCCTGATCACAAACCATAAATAACCTTTCATTACTGAAAGAACAAGAAAGTTGTTCCAAAGGATTATTCTGAATATTCTCTAAGGAATTTTCTACTTTGATTTGTGAAATACAACTCCCCCATTACCATCTTCTGGTGATACGTGAATTATTATTTGGTTTGAAAGTGTGGGATTAAAGTTTTCGGGTGATAATTGGATTATTTGTCTACTCATGCCAGTTTGTGTGACTAAGCTAACCTTTTCTGTACTTATATCATTTTCTGAAAAAAACTCGACTGTAGGTGAGCATAAATTTAAGTCGGGACTTACACCCTTTGGTAATCGCTGACTGTTGCGAAAACGTGCTGAAAAGTGCCTCCCACAAGCCTAGAGTGATTTGACTGCTGTGTCACTTGGGACTCCCAGAAGGCGCATCCACTCCACTCGCCTAAGAAGAAATAAAAAGCATTAGTATACTGTTTCAGTATTGTTATGTAATAAAAAAAAACTTAGTAAAATAAATACATAAATTTCCCCACTAGGCGAAAAACAAAACAACAAACCCTAACAAAATAAAAACAAAAAATAAACCCAACAAAGAAAACCAACATCTTCCCTTTTTCTTCGTTCACAAAGTATAAAAATCAAAATTATTAATAAAATGTTTAATCCTAAACATATCTTTAGAAAATAATTAACCTCTTAATCAATTATCACGTACGCCATGATATTATAAAAACGTACGTTTCATAAAGTCCATGAATTTTATATTTAAAGATCTTAGATCTTTATCACTTACATATTCACAAAAACTTGTGACCACCGAAATATGGTCTAATTTAGTACAAAGCCCAAACAACGTAGGTTACAAATTTAATATGAACGTAGGCAAACTGCAGAGGATTGAAAACAAACTTCCAAGGAACAAAGCCTTCACTATCTTAACTTATTTCTTAATACATAGAAGTAGAGATATCTACATCTAAAAACGAAATTTGAATTCAAAGCAATGTATGTGAATGCATCTGGGATCCGTGACAGCCTTTTTCCTTCGTTGGTCATATCCGTGTTAGTTTGATTTCACAATTTCCATTTTCGCCGTAAAGCATGTCGATGAATAAAATATTGTTCATGTTTACAAAAATACACTTCCGCAATTTGGTGGCATTTATATCTATGACAAAAATACAGTCAAATTTCGATGGGTAGCAAGAGAAGCTGTATGAGCTTTACAACGATATGGACATAGTGCAGCGAATTAAAATACAGCGGCTCCGCTGGCTTGGTCATGTCGTTCGAATGGACACCGACGCTCCAGCTCTGAAAGTATTCAACTCGGAACCCGCTGGTGGTAGCAGAGGAAGAGGGAGGCCCCCACTGCGATGGAAAGATCAGGTGGAGAAGGACTTGGCTTCACTTGGCGTTTCCAATTGGCGTCAGTTGGCACAGAGGAGAAACGACTGGCGTGCTTTGCTGAACTCGGCCAAAATCGCTTAGGCGGTTACAGCGCCAAAAAAGAAGAAGAAGAAGCAAGAGAATTACATAAGCAATTTAGATATGGGCATATTTGATCTTACTTCAGCGGTCAACTNAATACAGTCAAATTTCGATGGGTAGCAAGAGAATTACATAAGCAATTTAGATATGGGCATATTTGATCTTTCTTCAGCGGTCAACCTCATGCCAGCACCATTCAACAAATATATACACAAAACCGCTTCAACTCTTTAAGATTCCAGCGTTTGGTAAATTGGCCACAAATACCTGGCTTCGGTATAACAACCTCAATGCACAAATCACTTCCCATATCTGCCCGCTTACCCAGTTTTGACTGTTTAACATTCGTAAATCACTGGAAATCATACATACCTTGGCATTTCTCGCTGCGATGGAAATTTGTAAACTGCTCCTCCAGCTCTGCAACCACGAACGCATCTGTTTGGCATCTTGGCTACAATTGGAAATAAACAGTATTATCTTATATTCACGCACATTACGTTATGGTTAAATATATTTACTTTTTTTGCTTTAAAATTGTTTAAACACTTCAATTTAAATAAAACACGCTCCACTTTTAAGTTTTTGTTTTGGTTTTGTTTCACTTTTGAATTCAACATAGCTACACCACGGTTGCATTTAGTGAATACGCAAACACTTAAGATCGTGTTTCGAAATTGAATCTGATCACTGAGTAACTTCATTAGCTGAGACTATAGAATACCTAGCGCTCTCATCAATTTAAATTTTTTTAACAAACAAAAATTTCTTCTAAATGCAAAACCACATGTAGGAATGTCAGATATTTGACATAGCTGTTACAAAAACATATACTGATTTAGATAGGAATATATGAAAAATGCGGGTAATTTCTAAAATTGTTGTTTTTCTATACCTCACTTGATTCTTGTTAAATAGCAGGTTTAAATTCTTATTGAAGGCCTGTACCACTTGATAGAAAAGAACACGGGATGGTAATTTTTGACAACTATGGGCCTGTGCCAATTTATAGAAAAGAGGAAATTGATCTGTCAAGGATTAAAGTAAAAATTTGACATTTCTCGCGGGGAATACGAACGTCAGAATTTTACCTTGCTCATAAGCGAGCACGGTGCATTTTCGCCGCGGTCCTTCTGAATGACAAAATGATGTGTTTGTTGTAAACAAGGCGAGTTCATATTACAACAAACACATCATTTTGATATTCAGAAGGACTGCGGCTAAAATCTAAATTCGCCAATAACACCACCTTGTATAGATTCGCCTTGCTCATAGGTCTAAGTAAAATTTTGACAGCTTACAAACATGTATACACATAATATGGTTTGGCGGTAATATAGAGTGAAAATAAAAATAAAAGCTGAAAAAGCACAAACAAAGCGTACGTTAGTTGCAAGTTATAAAATAAATATAAATTTTAACAATTTCAGCAAAACACAAAAATAGAGCTTTCCCATGATCGTTTGTTTGGTTTTTCAACTGTCAAAATTTTACGTTGCATTTGGCTCAGCAAAATTTAATTTATTTGTGAACCAAAACAAATTTTTCTATTTACCAAACCTTTATTTTCTTCGGGGATAGAAACAAGGCCGAAAGATACTGAAGTATTTATATATTTATTACGTTTATTTTATATTGCTGTACATATTTTTTTAGATTTTAGCATTCATATTTTGGATTTATCTTATGCATTTGTTTAATTACCATTATAACTACCATTTATAATTTTCTTTTTATAAGAGCAAGAAATATCAAATGCTTAAATTTATTTATCTAATAATAATTAAACACACAACCCGGAAAACTAAGAAAAATTCTGAGGAAGGCCGTTAAATAGCAGCACGCAGCCCCGTGCCTTCCTCAGGAGTGAATATGGCTACAACAACAACCCAAAAAGGTTGGTTACTGTCTATACTGTGACCAAGAGGGACGTTTTCTCATGTCGAAGTCCTGGCGACACTGGTGGTGTCAATCACAGTAGGTTCTTTCCCGTACGCAACGCGGGCAAGAACGATAGAATACAAGATTGCGCATTCCCGCAGAATGACATTTGTGGCAACAGGTAAACAAAGAATATGGTGAAGAACCAAGAACGATAGAATACAAGATTGCGCATTCCCGCAGAATGACATTTGTGGCAACGGGTAAACAAAGAATGTGGTGAAGAACAATGAGTTGACAGTTGTGAATTTGCAGTGAGAAAACGTGTTTTCTTCTCGATTCAACAATTTCTCAAGCCATATTTGAATATAGCAAATTAAGCACTACTTTCAAGTGAAAAATCGAAATAACTCGTGCGTTCTGAAGTAAAAAACATTTTATTTGTAATAAAAACTTTATAAAAATGTCGTGTCGTGTGTTGAATTGCAGCAGCCGTAGGGGTAAAGCCCTCAAATGCAGTTTTTTTTTTGTTTCCCCGCGACGACGCCTTGGCCAGAAAGTGGGTAGAGTTCTGCCGGCAGGAGAAGCCATAAAATTTAGACACCAGCGTAGTATGCATGAAGCACTTTACGGACCACTTTTAAACACGACATGTTAAGTTGAAAACGTTGAAATACCACAAATTACAAACTAAAATCGGAGGTAAGCAAGCATCGACCACTTTCTGCAGGAAAACATGCGCTGCGACAAGATATTATCACTTTTTCGGCACCTGCAATACAAACACAAAAATTCTAAGTAGTTAATTAATAAGACCTATTCTTTTGAACACATTTCCAGAGTGGTTGTATATTTTTTGTTAACGTAGTGCTTAATTTGCTATATTCAAAGATGGCTTGAGAAATTGGTGAATCGAGAAGAAAACACGTTTTCTCACTGCAAATTCACAACTGTCAACTCATTGTTCTTCGCCATATTCTTTGTTTAGAGCGAAAATTGGAACGTATTGGATCGGAAGTGTCTTCTTCTTCCTGCCCAAAACAGCCCGGACTTTTTCTCCGGGTAAAAATGGATAAAGCGTCAAAATGCATATCAGCTGTTTTGTGTTTACATGTTGCCTGTTTGTAGTGGTGTGCTGAGTCAATACTTTTAAGTATTGATCGATATTCGGTACCGATTTATAAAGTATCCAATACTCTCGATTCTCGGTACCGAAACATTCAGGTTTCGAATAAAAGCGCACATAGGCCAAAAATATGAGAAAAGAAACGGTTCAGCGGAGACTCGCCTATAAAAACCCGAATGTAGGAGCCACTAGAGCTTTTAATACGGATTCAAATGAAAGATGTATATATGTCGGTTCGAGGCCATAATTCGGAGAAACTCTTACTTGTTTGAAGCATTTTTGTTCCAGCTGAATCTGACGATGTCATTTTTGTTCGCCTAGAGGCAGATTCTGCAACCAGTTAGCGACAGTATTCGAATCTGCATCGGTTTTGTTGACGTATGATACGAAATATTTTTACGTCAACAAGTCCGATATCTAAACTTGAAATGCATAGATTGGCGAAGGTTTAATGCAAAGAATCGGTATCAGCTACCGAAAAGGAAGTATTGGGTACCGAAATCTTTTTTAAGTATTGGGTACCGAGTATTGGATACCGAAAATTCAGCCCATCACTAGCTGTTTCACAAATTCTGGGCACGAAATGTGGTTTTTTGCGTTCCCGTACTTCTGTAGCCGGATTCCAGCTTGCGCTATCGCTAAAACTCTACAAATCTCCAAAAATCCAAACGCTAAAAATTATCCGAACTTTAGGCGATTTTTCTTAAATGCGATTCCGGCTGGTTCATCTATAAAAATCTCCAAGGAAAATTGTAATACTTTTATCCGCCGCAGGTGTCGCTGGTGTAGTTGAAGAGAAATGTCAAATTTTGTTTACTTTTATGGCCCACGGGAATTTAGTTAAAATTTGTAATTTTGATATAATTTGCTCTAAATCAGAAATTAAAAGCCGCAATCTCGGTCTATTTCATTATAATATTAAGAAAGAGTGTTGTGATAATAAATACGTGGTCAATATGAGTGAGTTGCGAAGATATATGTTTCGTATCTCAGTGAACTCTCAGCGAGCTTTAAGGAACCGCTTGCGAAGCAAAAGAAAATTGTTGCGGGAATCCACGGATCCCTTCTGTATTTCAGCGGAACGGTTCACTGAAATTTTTCGACTTCCAAAAGGAATATGTAGAAATGTTTTTAATGAAATCCGCCCCTTTATGTTGCAAAGGACATCAACTTGTGGATTGTCGAAAGTTTTAAGGTTCCTTGTAGCATTGCGATTTTTCGCTCATATATATTTATATATATTCAATGTTTTATTAATTGAATTCATACTTTTTCAGGAAGCTATCAACGTTCGGTGGGACAAGACTTCTTACTTAATGTATCCCAAAGCAGCGTCAATAGATGCATTAGAGAAATCGCCAGTATCATGGACAAATGCTTGTTAACTAGATACATTAAGATTCCATCAACAGTTGAAGAAAAACAGGCTGTAAAGGAAAAGTACTTATACTAAATTAAAAGTAATATTACTTAAGATAAGTTTATGATTCTTTATTTTAGATTTTATCAAGAGTTCAGATTCCCTGGGGTCATAGGAGCCATTGACGGATCGCATATTAAATTAAAGACTCCATCCAAAGACATTGAACATGTATATGTTTGCCGAAAAGGAGGACACTCAATAAATGTGCAAGTGGTATGTTCTATTCATTTACATATTTGCAAATGTAAATACATATACGTAACATTGTATGTACATACATTATTTCATCACTTGAAGGTATGTGACATGGATTTAAGAATACTTGACTGTATGCTCGTTTCGGCGGAACTGCTCACGATGCATCAGTTTGGAGAGCAAGTGCTTTGAAGGTTTTTCTTGACAATAGTTGCGTTTTTTACTCATTTCCAGTAACGTCCAGTAAAAGTTTTTACGAATTTTCATGTTTTGGCGTTTTCGTACGCAANGCAAAAACGTGCAAAGTAGGGGAAATTGAGAGAGCGAAAAATGACAGCTGAAGTTGCAAGTTTTTACTGGATTTTACTGGATAAATTTTTACTTGTAAGAATTTGCCAGTACGAAAAACAGCTGATCGCATGTTGCTGGATGAAATTTAACTAATAAGGAAACTGTTTGTGGCTTTTTATTGTGGAAATTCACAAAATAAACATATTTAAATATAAAATATATTGCTTTATTAGGAATATGCTGCGAATAAACAACCGATTAATCAGCTGTTCATGAAACTTGCAAATTATTACTGGAAAAGCGTTCACGTACTTTTTTGTAAATTTTTTCTATGAGAGCAAAATTATTAGAAATTAGAAATTAAGTTACTGGAGAGTTGCTGGCAAGTTACTGGATAATTTGTAAAAAAATACAACTAATATGTACTCCAATGGAGAACGAAATTTTTGGCTTTTAGGTATATTTTACTCAATTTGTATACATATGTATATGTATATTATTTATGTAGCATAATTTTCCTTTTCACATGTTTAGGTGACAGTGGATATCCTCAATTACCGTATTTAATGACTCCTATTCCGGGAAACAATCTCTCAGATTCTGAACATAATTACAACAGACATCACCGGAAAGCAAGAAACTGTGTAGAACGCTGCTTTGGAGTGCTGAAATCTAGATTTCGATGCCTGTCAAAAGAGTGCTTATGTATGACCCAGTTTTAGCCGGAAAAATTATAAATGCTTGTATAATTTTGCACAATATCATGATATTAAATAATATAAGGTATGAAATTGAGGATGATGATAACATAAGTTTTGATGAAGAGTTTAATTTAGTTGATGAAATAACTAGTACTCATCATGGTATTGCTGCAAGACAACAAATTGTAAATAACTATTTTAATTACTGAGATTTGTGGTTTGCTCACATTTACATGCATGTACAATGTACATATGTATTTGTGATGAGCTTATTCAGTTAGTTACATGTTTACCAGTTTTGTTTATTAAGTCTTGCGCCTTATATAACCAGCATCGTATAAATCCACATTTCATACTTTGTACAAAAATTAAAAAAACCAAAGAGATTTACCAATTTCCCAAAATATTTAAAACTTTGCCTTGATGTTAAATATTTTTTTGTTGACGGTGCCAGGTATTTTCTTCTATATAATAGACGTTTCGAACATACTTTACGTGGAAGAAAATACCTAGCACCGTCAGCAAAAATAACAATATTAAAAATTCTAGCGTTTTGAAACTTGCTATTTGTCCTACTAAATTCAATTTAATTTGTATTCAATTTTTACAAACTTTCTACAAAGTGTGAAATGTGGGTTTATACTATGCTTGTTATATAATGCGCTAGACTTTAATAAAAAAATAAACATTATAAACAATATAAAAACAGGCAAAACTGGTCAAAATGCAACTAACTTAATTAGCTGACCACTAGGGTACATCCTTTAATTTAAGCATTTATTATTATTATTATTTTTTAAATAATTCAATTAACGCTTACTCAAATTTAAAAAACAATTGCGTATTCGTTTATTTTCTTTATATTAAGTATTTTTCATATATGCATATTTCTGTCCAAAATTCATTAAATTCAATAAAAATAAGACGCTGTTCTACAGCTTGAAATACTTAACCTACAACTTAAATACCTAATTTATTTACATTAATAATAAATGAAAAATTAAAACGCTGTTGTACAACATGTACACATACGCTACAGCTTAAATACCTAATTTATTTACATTAGCAATAAGTAAAAACAATAAAACGCTGTTCAACAGCTTGAAAACTTAACCTACAGCTTAAATATCTAATTAATTTAAATTAATCATAAATAAAAACAATAAAATTCTGTGCCACAGCTTGAAAACTTAACCTAAAGCTTAAATACCAAATTTATTTACATAAGTAAAAAACAACGCGCTGCTCTACAGCTTGGAAAACTAAACCTATAGTATATGACCATTGAATTACAAACGGTACACCGATGTTTAAATTTTTACGTTTAACTGATTTTTTGAACTTTCATATTTTTTTTTTTTAAAAATATAGTAAATTCAATAACATAGACCACATATATCGTAGCTTCGAACTTTGTGGAGAATTCGCGAAAAATCGGCTAATTACGAAAAACTCATCAAAATTTAAAACTTATCAGAATTTTTAAAAAATGTTTTTACTACGCATTTATATAGCCTTAAATTTTAGTACCATAAAGTGCAAGTTTGAAGTCGGTAAAAATTCGCGGTTAATTTTTTGAAATTTTTTTTGGTTGAAGGTGTTCTGCATTTTCTTCCACGTAAAGTATGTCGGCATTTTTTTATGTTGAAGAAAATGCATTACACCTTAAACCAAAGATATTTTCGAAAAATCAAACGCGGATTTCGACCGACTTCAAACTTGCATTTTATGGAACTAAAATTGAAGGCTATATATCTGCGTACGTAAACATTTTCTAAAAATTCTGATAAAAGCTTTTAAACTTTGATCACAGCTTTTCGTAATTTGTTGATTTTTCGCGACTTTCGCACAAAGTTTAAAGCAACGATAGATGTGGTATATGTTATTGAATTTACAATATTTTTATAAAAGAAATTTTTAAGTTCACAAAATCAGTTAAACGTCAAAATATAAACGTCTGAGTACCGTTCATAATTCATTGGCAACATACCGTAAAGCTCAAATATCTATATTTCTACGATCACTCCGAGACCAATCACCTTTGTAGAAGTAAATCCAATTTATTTAAGATATTGGACAATCAGTGTTGTCATCTTTTGATTTTCAAAAAGCCCCAAAAACTTGGAAAAAAAGCGTTTTACCACACTAAAAGCACCAATTTTTTTTTAATCAAGGGATGCTTTTTCATAACATAATACCGAAATACTGCACATAAAAACTGGTATATCTCGAGAAAGAAAAATCGAATCGCATCAAACGAAAATGATGCCCTAATTATAAATGAGCAAATAATTTGATGTTTTCATTATATAACCTCAAATATCGCTAAAAACCGTGTTTATGGCACTTTGAGGTTAGGATATCTCAAAATTTTATTGCTAGAGCAATTGTGAGGCCAGATTTGGATTCAGCACCAAGAAAGGATGTGTTTTACTCAGGTGGTAAAAAAAAAAAACATTTGTACAAATAATTAGAAAAGAAAAAAAGAAATACTTAACTTACTTGCGTACTAGCATTTTCAACGCGAATAGAATTTAAGAAGGTGGGTTTGCAACTTCAGCTTTTTATCAATCATGGTTGTATTTTAGTCCATTTAAATTTGTAGGTTCTTGTAAATTCAGTGCTGCCACAGCCTTAAAAATTACAAATTATTTCAGGTTTTAACTATCTCGAAATAATTTTAGTTCAGAAAAAAAGCACTAAAAAGGCACTAAGCACTAAATAATTTTTTTTTTTGGCGTTTGAATTTTCAAAAAGCACTAAATCTAGTGCCTTTCCTCTTCCATAGAGTTTCTTTTCTCCAGCGCCGCAATTTTTCTTTCCGCCAAGACGACTCTGCGTTCTTCTAATTGTATCATTTGGGCGTTGCTCTCTTCTAAAGAGTAATTTTTGCGTTTGGGAGCCCGACGTTGTGGTGGAAGTGGATCCTGAGGAACCATATCCGGTGCCATTTGCGGTTCCTCATCGCCTCCTTCAAGAAACTGTAATAAAAAGTTAAATAAAAAACGGAGACAATCTTAATGCGTATGTACATACCTCTATCTCAAACTGGTCCACAGGGGCGTCAAATAATTCCACGCTAGTTACTGCGCCGGAACTTCTCTGTAAATAAAAATTATTATATAAATTATAGATATATACATATGTAAGTATGTTCAAACTACAAAAACATTTTGATCGAATTCGAGTCTATGGATAGAAATAATTTATAAATGGAAATGTTCTAAACTCACCAGTGGCTCGCTAACTTCACTTTGACCGACCACTGCCACTGTGGTCATCACGCCAATGATGCGCTCGTCGAGGTTACTGAGATGTTTTTCGGTAATTGATGAATTTACCCCGCTTCGCTCCATAGCATTTCTCAAATCTTGGGATTTTTGTTTGGCCTTGCTCCTATCATTGATCGAAAACAATTTTAAGAATCTTAGTGCTACTTATATACATACATTTTCAAAACATATTTACCTCATATTTACCCACGCTCTCTTCCATCCTTCACCATCTTTTATGGATCCTCCGCAAGCATTTAATTTTTCGGCGAGGTGGTTCCACTGCTCAGCTAAACTTTTGCTCCCGGTGCCATTGACGAATCTTAAAAAAGAAAAAATTTAAACAAAATCATTTACGGGAAAATGTTTTGCATACCTGTCGTGAGCAAACTCTCTATGATCCTCCAAATATTGAACGAGCATATATTTTTTATCCTTCGTCACTCTTTTGCTATTGCGGTTTTCCATATTTTGCTATTAATTAAACAATTTCTTTAATATAAAAGAGTATTTTTAACAAAAAACAATATAAGGATTACCTTTTTTGTCGCGTTATTTTTTTAGCACCAACTTTTTCTAGTCGCCAAATTCGCAGAATTTTAAGCCAACAATGGAGATTTGTAGCAATGGAAAAGACGCTGGAATCGCCATTTTAGCTGATGAGCTGTCAAAAACTGTTCACTCACTTTATCCGGGTTCATTTTGAACCAAAAAAGAATCTTTTTAGAGATGAGTTTTTAAGCGCGAATCGCAAAAATCTCCCAAAATTGCTAAAATCCATTTAGTATTTTTTGGCGATGGAGTTTTAGCAATAGCGAAAGCTGGAATCCGGCTGCTGGATTATGTTCCATTTTTGAGAGCAAACTTTTCGCTTATTCTCTAATTACCGGATCCGGTCCGGATTGTTAGGGAAAGAACCTAATATATACAGTAATAAACCATTTCGCAGTTTTTCACCAATTGGTCCCCGAGGTGTACTTTTGGGTTGTGTGCAGCGTTTTCGTTTTGCGAGCACGGCAACACTTACTTTCCCCACAGGATTATAAAAAGTTCTTTTCGAGGATAAAATATATATAATTGTGTTATTTATGAACAAACTGTAGGTTTAATATAATATCAATGCTTAATTAAGAATAATATCAACAGTATAGTACATAATTATTGCCTGTGTTTCTTTAAACTAGAAATTCAAATCGTAATTATAGCACTGGATGGAGTTTTCTTAAATGTAAATTAAAAATCAATAAAACATCCATTGTAAGATTATATTTTTATGAAAAACATGAAATTTGTGAATTTATCATGGAAAATTCTAAATTTCCGAATATATTTAAGTCTTTATTACAAAACAAAACATGGTTGGTATAGTTATAGAGACTCCAAAGCCTGCCAGCGCATCCGCCCATAGAGCTCATTAAGCAAACCCAAGTTTGAGCGACCATTACCCGGAGCTCCTCAAAAATACTCAACATCAAAGTATAGAATGTCACAAATATGAATCATACACACATACAATAGGCTATGAATGGCTACTGTATAAACTCAGGACACGCATTTACTTGGAGACTCTGAAGGTTATGATGGTCATAAGTTCAGCCAGCACATTCAATGGTCCATTACCATTAAGAAAAGTGTTTTTTACGAAATTACCTGTGCCACTCTGGCATAGTACGGTTTTTGCTACCTTAGCACAAACATGTGCTACAAAATTGCTTGCATTTTTTTATGCTTCGTCTTCATATTCTTTGTTTACTTTTCAAAGAAAATTATCATGGCGCCGAAATTACAAACGTCAGCCAGAAAATTACTTTTTTTCTTTTGCTTCATCTTGTCAGATCTTGTGTAGTTGGATCATGCTCCTGTTCAATCAACACCACCCTGTATTGCTGTTGTTGTAGCGGCTATTAAACCCCGCTCGGGTCCGTTCATCCATCAACGTTGTTGTCTTTTTCAGCTAAGGGGAGGCCTAGGAAGTGCGCAACTTCAAGAGGGTCTGTCCATAGGGAAAGGGGCATTAGCTGCGTATTGATGAGCCTCTTGGTGTTGGCGACAAGGTTGGTTGGATCATTTGCTTTATAAGGTTATGTGTACCGCTAATTTAACCTTTAGGGCGAAGTTATATGGATATTCTGGAAAAACACTTACTACGTTTATACGCACAGAATAATCGACTTAATTGAAAGCGCATTGACACCGTATACATTTCGCTCTAGTGTTTATACTTACGGCTTTATATCGGCATCAAAGTAACCGTCTTCAAAAGCGAACAAAATTAGCTGTTTTCATTTGACATTTTATAAGTTAACATAGTGGAAAGTGATAAAAATCTAGTTTTATTCGGCATTATAAAATCGTGGCAAAGAAAAAGAACGATTATTATTAATCAGCTTTTAAATACTGATCCGATTATTTGGAATTTGAGCGGAACAGCTGATCTCCAATTCGCTTTGAGTGAGAGCGGTGTTTATACACTCTAACTCAAGGCGAATTTATATAAGGTGGTGTTACTAGCTCAGCTGATTTTGTGTATGTGTTTCGCCGCACGGCTTCTGATATCAAATTGA